CCCAGGTGTGCCCAGGTGTATCCCAGATACACCCCACGTACCCCAGGTGCCCCCAGGTGTACCCAGCTCCGCCCCGGGTGCCCCGCCCAGGTGTGCCCAGGTGCGCTCACCCCGGAAGTACCCCCCGTAGGCGCCCTGGCGCTGGTCGAGGACGCGCTCGTTGTTCTCCACCAGGTTGCCCAGTTTCTCGGCCAGCTGCAGCGCCAGGTTCTGCGTCGCCGTCGGCTCCGTCCGGTGCATCATCACCGTCGCCGTCGGCTGGTCCAGCGAGGCCTGGCCCGGGAGGGGGGGCGTGGCCAGGTGAGCCCCGCCCACACCTGGGTCACACCTGTGCTACAGGTAACCCCGGAACCGCCCCCCGACCACACCTTGTGACTGTCCCACACTCGGCTCAAGGTGATTCACTCTGGTCTCTGGTTGGTCCAGAAACACTGAGGGGGGGTGTGGTCAGGTGAGCCCCGCCCACACCTGGAGCACACCTGTGCCACAGGTAACCCCGGAACCGCCCCACAACCATCCTATGTGTGTTTCAAGATGCTCCTCCCACCCCTTCTCTCCGCTCTCTGGTTGGTCCAGAGACGCCTGGAGGGTGGGGTCAGGTGAGCCCCACCCACACCTGGGGCACACCTGTGCCACAGGTAACCCCAGAACCATCCGAAACCTGCCCCAAACTGCCCCACACCTGGTTTAAGATGTTCCTCCCCCCTTTCTCTCCTATCTCTGGTTGGTCCAGGAGCAGCAAGAGGGCGTGGCCAGGTGAGCCACACCCACACCTGGGCCACACCTGTGCCACAGGTAACCCCGGAACTGCCCCACGATCACCCCATGCATGTTTCAAGATGCTCCTCCCCCCCCTTCTCTCTGGCCTCTGGTTGGTCCAGAGGTGCCTGAGGGGGCGTGGCCAGGTGAGCCCCGCCCAGCCCCCGGCCACACCTGTGCCACAGGTAACCCCAGAACCACTCGAAACCTGCCCAAAACTGCCCCACACCTGTCTCAAGATGCTCCTCCCCCCCTTCTCTCTGGTTGGTCCAGGGACACCTTGGGGGTGTGGCCAGGTGAGCCACACCCACCCCAGCCCCACACCTTGCCACACAGGTAACCCCAGAACCACCCCAAACCTGCCCCAAATCTCCCCAATTTCCCCACCCTTTGCCCCTCCCTCACCTGCCCTGCCCAGACCACGCCCTCCCCAGGCCACGCCCTCCCCAGGCCACGCCCCCCTCACCATGAGCTCCTCCCCGATGATCATCTTGCTGATGATGCCGTGCACCGTGGGCAGGTCCAGCTCAAACATGGCCGCCAGCGTCTCCATGCTAATGAGGGAGGGTGGGCGGGGTCACTGGGGCCACGCCCAGCACACCTGGGCCACGCCCACCTCA